CACAGGTCCTGACTTGTTTACAGACTCTAACAGATATTTATGTACTCAGAGCTCATTACAATAGTTTTATGGAGGTATAATTCATAGACTATTTTATTTACCCATTGAAAGTATACAATTCAGTGGCTTTTAGTATATTCAGAATTGTGCAGGTATCATTACAGTCAATTTTTAAATATTTTCTTTCTTTTTTTTTTTTTTGGTATAGGGAATTGAACCCAGGGTTTCTTTTCCATTGAGCTCAGTACCCAGTCCTGTTTAAAATTTTTTTTTTWAATTTTGAGACAGGATCTCGCTAAGTTGCTGAGGGCCTTACTAAGTTGCCAAGGTTGGTGTTGAACTTAATTATATAGAAATCTTTTTCTATTAGGAGTCATTCCACATTTTCCTCAGCCATAGGCAACCACTTTCCTACTTTTTATAGGAAAGTGAATTTACCTGTTCTGCATATTTCATATAAATAGAATCACTTTTTTGGTGTGTGACTGACTTCTACTTAACATAATGTTTTCTTTTTCTGTTTTTTTTTTTTTTTTTTTTGTAACTGGGGATTGAACCCAGGGCCACTTAGCCACTGAGTCACATCCCCAGTCCTTTTTATTTTGAGGTAGAGTCTAGCTAAGTTGCTTATTAGGGTCTCTCTAAGTTGCTGAGGCTGGCTTTGAACTTGCAATCCTCATACCTCAGCCTCCTGGGCCACTGGTATTGCAGGCATGTACCCAGTGGATTAGATTTCAACATATAAACTGAGGAAGAGTTCACAAACATGTAGTCCACAATAAGGTCTCTCTGTCTGTCTCTAGGGCTGGGTTGGAATCCAGGGCTTTCTTCTGTTTTATTATAGGCATCTATAGTCAAATTCCCTCCAAGCACAGCTTCAATTAAACCTCTATTTTTTTTTTACATTGATTCCATTTTCATATATTGCAAAGTATTTTCTCGCATCCCTGTGATTTCTTTGATCTATTAGTTATATAGGAGTGTGTTGTTTCATTTCTATGTATTTGTGAATTTCTCACTTTTTTTCTGTTACTAATTGCAATCATTTCAGACCTTTTAGATTTATTGAGTCTTGTTAAACATCTTAGCACATTGTCTGTCCTGGACAATGTTCCAGAAATGTGTACTTCAGAAGAATAGTTGTATGCATTATGCTACTGTGTGGAGTGTTCTATAAATGTCTGTTAGTGTTAGTCTGAGTAAAACATTAAAACTTTTATTTTCTTGTTGATCTTCTATTCATTATTGAAAATGGTACAGCTTAGGTCTTCAGCTGCCCTTTGAGTATGCTGGTGTGGGCAAAATGGAGAGACCCATTGTTCTTGGCTTGTTACCCTTTGGCAGTTTCTGTCCCAGGCATGGTGCCTGAGTGAAGAAGAGAGTCCCAGATCTCTAGCTTTGCTTGCTTAATATTCAGAGAGCTACTGTAACAATGGTTGAATGAGAAATGCTGTCTGACAGCCTCTTCTGTGGAGAAACTGTAGTTCTAGGCTAGTAGCTGGGGGGGTGAGAGAGCCCTGTCTGTGTTGGTCACCTCTGACTGTGTAGAGCTTCTGTCTCGTTGGAGCAGTACTGGGTTCATGGCTCAAATGTCACAGATTCATGGTATTCTTACTGAGGCTTAGTAATATTTCTTGCATAGATGTTTCTCTATTTGCTGTATGCTGTGTGATACTTTCCAGAGACTTTGGTTTTTATAATTTTACAGCTAGGTTTGGTTTTGTTTTGTTTTGCTATGGATAGTGTCTGTGAAACTCCTCATGTTCCAAGAAGAGTTCTTTCTCTGTTTCATTCAAAGTACAAGTTGGGTCAGGAGTATTGATTATATAAGATTGAGCATTTTTGGTGTTTCAGAGTTGAGTTTGTAGAATTACTACATTATATCAAGAGGCACATTAAGGGAGGAACCTGTTACCAGATCTCCTCTTGCCCTTTGAGAGTTCTCTTTTTATTCTTTAATAAATTCTACTCAAAAAAAAAAAAAGGCATTAAGGTCAGTTGTATTGCTACTATTGATACCAAGTTTGCTCTCCTGGTTTAGATGGTGACTGGTGGACTCTTTCATTCTAAAGTTTGTTTCTTCACTGCATTTGGAAAGTAATCTTTGATACACTTGGACACACTGGAAACATTCTGTTCCCCAACAACTGTTCTTAATKATTTTAGCATCCATTATTATTGATCCATGCCAAATAAGTTATTTTACTATTGGAATTCTCAGGATTTTGAAGTTCTTTTTTTCTTAAACTTTTACTGTAATCTTACCCCTCTTTTTCTTAGTCAGCTCACTTAACTGCATTTTATAGTAACTAAGGATAAACACAGATAATGCAGTCTGAAGAAAATTGCTATGACTGAAATTATAGTTACTGCAGGCTTGAGAAGTCTTTCTGGGTGGAAGGCAGAAGTGCTGAATTGTCTCTTGTCTATTCATTTCTTTTTTTTTTAATATTTATTTTTCGGTTCTCGGCAGACACAACATCTTTGTTTGTATGTGGTGCTGAGGATCGAACCCAGGCCGCACGCATGCCAGGCGAGCACGCTACCGCTTGAGCCACATCCCCAGCCCCTATTCATTTCTTTTAATGAAAATGTTTATATTATACAGACACATTTGTAAAACCTTGAACTTTGGATTTTATACTCTTTATTTCTGTGGGGAAAATATACTCTGGGTTATAACTGGTATGCTGGAAATTATTCATTACAGTTTGTTTTAATAATATTTCCTTTTGCCTCAAACTTCTATAGACTATGTTCTATAGACTATTGCTAGAGAACAGGGACTTGTCATCCAAAAAAACTATTGCATTGCCTGCCACAAAATTGTGTTCCATGCTAGGCACAGTGGCACATGTCTGTATTCTCAGTGGCTTGGGAGGCTGAGGCAGGAGGATTGTGAGTTCAGAGCCAGCCTCAGCAACTTAGGAGGCCCCTACATAACTCAGTGAGAACCTCTGTCTCTAAATAAAATATATAAAAAGAGGGGTGCTATGGATGTGGTTCAGTGTTGAGCATAATCCCTGATTCTAAAAGGGGGAAAAATTGGTGCTCCAAAAATGTGTGAACTGAGCTCTTCCTTCCAGACTGTATGGGGTCTTCTTAGAAGCAAGGATCAGAGAAGGGGAGAGGGAAACAGTGTTGTATTTTGGATAGGACCAAGGTAGGGCAAAATGCTGGAGGTAGGTAGGGATGGGAAATTCTAGCAGCTTTCATTATAAGAGGTAAATAGTGAGATATGTGGACAATAAAGATAATATCATATAGGCTTAGGAATTACTTTGCTCTGAAGTTTCGGAGAGGTTAAGAGTTTGTATGATTTCTGCACAGTCTTTGCTCATGGGGGAAATTTAGGAGTTGGTATTAGTGATTTTTCAAGTAGTAGCCCAAAATAGAACCATGGCTCTTTTCTTTATTTTCTATATTTTGGTGGGGGTAGGATAGGAATGAGTTCTGGTAGAGCCTTTCTTTTATTCATTTATTCATATCATTACGTTCATATATTCTTTTCTATCCTATGCTTTTTTTGCACTTATATGAAAAATACATATTTTGCCTTATTAAGGTCCTATATGATCTCTTTTTGCCTACTTCTCCTACTCATTGTGTTGCATTTTCCTCTTCTTGCTGTCAGTCATACTGACCTCTCCAAGTTTGTTTCTAAATCGTAAGGCCTGGGCTTTTTTTGTTTGTTGTTTTCCCTGTCCTGGGGTACTGCTTTCAGATCTTTTCATGGCAGGATCTCTCTATCATTCATCTTTCATAAAGGTCACTTAGAGAAGCCTTCTCTGAATACTCAGTCTAAAGAACATGTCTAATCACAGTGGGTGTTTTTTTTTTTTTTAATTTTTAGTACTAAAGATTTAACCTAGGGTTGCTTTATCACTAAGCCATATCCCTGCCCTTTTAATTTTTTTAAATTTGAAATGGGGTCGATAAGTTGCTGAGGCTGGCCTCAAACTTGAAATTCTCCTACTTCAGCCTCCCGAGTTGCTGGCATACAGCAGGTTTTCAACATTCTTACTGAATAAATAAGTCACTCAATTAGCTACCATGTGGTTCAGTGTGAAGTACTTTTTTAAAAACATTTTTTAAAGTTGTAGCTGGACAGAATGCCTATATTTATTTGTTTATTTTTATGTGGTGCTGAGGATCAAACCCAGTGCCTCATGCATGCTAGGCAAGCACTGTGCCACTGAGCTCCAGCTCCAGCCTGTGAAGTACTTTTTTTTAATATTTATTTTTTAGTTATAGTTGGACACAATACCTTTATTTTATTATTTTATTTTTTAATATTTATGTTTTACTTTTAAGTGGACACATATTTTATATTTATGTGGTGCTGAGGCTCGAACCCAGGGCCCCCACATGCCAGGCGAGCTCTCTACTGCTGAGCCACAACCCCAGGCGCCGCCCACTATCCCCCCCCACCCCAGTACTTTTTTGTTCAAAGAAATTTTTTGTTTTGGATTAGCCCTCCTTTACTTACATAGACTTTAATGTGGTTAATTTTCCTTAAAAGTTGTAATATTTAGGGTTGATTTTTTTATTTAATCAATATTTGGAACTTTTCTGTTTTACTATAATTTAGTAACTTTTAATAAAGGAAGTAATTTGTTTTGGGTTAATGACTTTCAGGCTTTAAGTTATTTGCTTAGAGTCTTGAACAGGCAATGGTATTTAAYCAGAATTTAGGAATTTCGTGTTTTGTATTTGTTCCCCACCCCTGTCCCTAAAATGCTAGTATCTTTTATTTATATGGCACAGTAAACGGCAGTTTCATTTAGAAATAAATTGATTTTAAGTTAGTGATTTGAATTAATTTTTAGGTAAGAATGTGGGTGGCACATAGAAAAGTAGAAGTCAATAAGAAGCATGGAGTTAGTGAATGATTAAAATGAAGGAGTGTTTCAGAACATGAAAACTTTTTTTCTCCATTTATGTTACTGTTAGTTTTTGTTACATATAATGTATACTAACATATGTTAATTTATTGCCAGGTTTCCATGGATCTCAATAGTGCCAGTACTGTAGTTCTTCAGGTCTTAACACAGGCCACCAGTCAGGATACTGCTGTTTTAAAACCAGCCGAGGAACAATTGAAACAGTGGGAGACACAGCCAGGTTTCTATTCAGTGTTGTTGGTAAGTACTTCTAAAATGGTTTATTTTTACTTTTAATAAAATGAGACATCATTATTTTCATTATTCCAAAAATCTGGATTTGGGTTCAGTGGTAGAACATTTGCTTAGTATATGTGCACCCCTGGATTTGATCTCAGCACTGCAAAAGAATTGAAGAGCTAGGTTTATTGGTAGTTTAATGGAATGAATACAGATGTTTAGCTGTCACAGGTATTACAATTATCACCTTAATTTGGGACACAATTTACTGAGGGTCTTTAAGAAATATTTGTTAATAGACCAACACTTGAGATCTTTCCTTTTCATTGCAACTTGATTATAACTTTTAGCAATGAAGTCATTTGCTTTGGCTATATTCTTTATGGAATATAAATTTTACTTTTTGAAACATTTCGTATAAATAGTTGTACAGTGCATTCCTATGTCTTCTCAGAAAGSAACCACTGTGGTTATTTTAGTTTTAGCACATTGATCTAATGTCCTGATTTCACTTTCATATTTTGTTTATACTTTTATCCTAATTAATTTATGTTATTAGTTGTTCAGGTCCTCATACTGCATCTTCAGGTTCAGGGATACTGTGCTTAAGTTTATTTCCTTTTAAAACATCATGATTGAGCTGGGGTTGTGGCTCAGTGGCGGAGCGCTTTCCTAGCTTGTGTGAGTCTTTGGGTTTGATTCTCAGCACCACATATAAATAAATAAATAAATAATAAAGGTCTATAAACAACAAAAAAATTAAAATATAAAAAAAAATCATTTATTTTCTCATCTAAAAATTTAATTTCCTTGACACATCTGATTTTTTTTTTTCTGGGTGTTTTGAAACAGTACAATAATTTAAGGAGTTAAAAATTTTTGGTTCATTAATCAAAATTATCTCTCAGTGCCAGAGTGGAACTCTTTTTTTGTGATGACAGTCTTCCCCAATCATTTCTGCTGAAAAATTAAAAATTCTGATTGATGTTTTGAGATTTAGTTTCTGGTCAAGGCAATGAAGCTACCAGCTAATATTTTTGACTGGGTCACACATTTAGAACAATATTGTTTACTATATCATTTAAACTAGAATAAATTATAGCAACTGACATGTATTTTTTTGAATTCTTGCCTAGAACGATTTGGTTTGTTAAATTTGAGAAGATACTTATGGTGATGAGGGGAATTAAGTTTTATTCTGAATATAACATGAAAATTGGCAGTTTGGTTTAATAACAAAAAGGTAAAAAATGGTTTGATTTTAAAAGATACTAAAGAAAATACCTTGTTTACATAACCCTAGCATGTTTAAATTTTGGGCACAGTGTAAATCTTTAGAATATCTCTGAGTATCTTTAACTTTCATATGCTTATTTAAGTGAATATGCTCTATAATTTGCTTATGCATCTTCAGGCCAAAATATGTTTTGGAATTTATTATTTTAATTATTATTAATAAATCAATTTTTGTGATGGAATTCTGGATTGCCAGCATGATAGGCAAGTGCTGTACAGCTGAGCTACATGCCTTCTTTATTTTATTTAAGTATCTAAATCTTTTTTCCTATATTTATTTGTTTTGGGATATTTATGTATTGATAAATTGATAATTTATATGGTGTGTGGTACTTTTATTTATTAAAAATAATGTATGCATTTATATTTGTGTATGTAGACATTTGTATAAGATACTATATATATGGCTTCTACTGAGTATGGTGAAGCATCCCAGATATGCAGTTAGGCTGTGTATGTATATGAATCAATTTCTATTTTATATACATTTATTTGGTTATATATATATTTATAGTTGTTTTATTTATGTGTACTTATGTTTATATAGTCAGTATTTATCAAATAACACTAGTTTTGCTCAGGTATTCTTAACAGGTTTCAGGCTTACCATGAAAGGCCTAAAAGGATATCTGGAAAACTTCACAGGGCTCTTGCTTTGGTTCAGATTGCCTAAATCCTTGTTTTTTGGTACCAGGCATTGAAGTCAGGGGCACTTAACCACTGAGCCATATCCCCAATCCCTATTTGTATTTTATTTATAAATGAGATCTCACTGAATTGCTTAGGGTCTTCCTAAGTTGCTGAGTCTAGGGATCCTCCTGCAATCCTCTTGCCTCAGCTTCTGGAATCACTGGAATTACAGGAGTGTGCCACTGTGCCTGGCTTGCCTAGTTCTTCTTGGTTTTTGTTTTTACTACATTGAATTTTTCTTCTTAGAGGGATAGGAATTAGATTTCTTGTAGAAGAAATAGATTACAATAGCTTAAAAAGCTGTTATAGGGCTGGGACTGTAGCTCACTGGCAGAGTGTTTGTCTAGCATGTGTGAAGCACAATATATATATGAATGCTGTCCATTAACAACTACAAACATGACAGTTTTTTTTTAATCCTTTTTTTCTCCTTTGCACATTAAATCTATATTTGTCCTAGCTGTTCATTCTAATCTGTAGATTCCCAAACTTCTATACCTTATCTCAGGTTTKTGTTGCAGTCCAGTTATTTAAAGTACTTGTGGAATATTTCTACTTGAACTCATAACCTGCAGCTTGATGTCTCTTGGTTCCCCAAGTGTAGCTGAGACTGGCTGATTAAGACCCACCAACTTCCATAATATTTTCCACATTACTTCCATTCATTCACCAATCTGTTTAATAGGTATTTGAAAAATTTCTATTGTATCTGGCATGTGGTAGATTCTAGGTGTATAAGACAAGACTCAATCTAGTAGTATGGAAGGTAGACAAGTAAAATGTCAAAATTAAATGGGACTGATGTGAAAAACAAAAATCTTTTTTTTTTTTTTTTTTTTTGTGGTGCGGGGATCCAACCCAAGGCCTTCTACATGCAAGGCAAGCACTCTATCAATTGAGCTATATCCCCAGCCCCACAAAAAAATCACTTTTTTTTTTTTTTTTACAATGGAGATACAAAAGAGGAACTCTGACTCAGTTGTCAATGGTCTTAAGGAGTAAATGGGAAATATATAGTTATCCTTGTAAGTTGTTTTTAAATGTGCAGACATATTCTCTAAAAAGAGAATTATAACATACATATCTGTTTTTAATACTTAACAAATGGATTTTTTTCATATCAAAGAATATACTTCCACATAATTATATTTGGCTTTGGGGTTTTCCCACACAAGGTTGTATTTAAGAGGTCATCACTGGGAATTTGAGTTGTTTTTGATCTGAGTGTAGTACAGTTTCAGTCAATGTTTACTATGTACTTAAACACATTCCTTCAGTTATTGTATGTACCAACTATTCCAGATAAGTTTTTTTCCAAAGAAATTAAACATTAAATTTTCAATACTTGTAATGTTTTAAAGTATAGTATTTGTGTAAGTTTTGCATTCTTACATTTCTCTGTACATTTAGAACTAACAGTAAAAGTTGTCTTAATATTTTGACTAACATTTTTAAAGGTCCTTGAATCTTGAAAATTTCCCTTTGGTTATTAATATTAAGATCATGTTTTGTGGTTTAGTTTGCATTGTTATTTTTAGGGTCTCCATTTACTGTGTAAAACAAAGACTGTGGATTATGATTAGGATTAACACAGTGAATAAATCTTTTGAGTWATGGCTAATTTTGAAAAGTGATTCACATCATGTCTGGCTTTATGTCACATAAAATGTTCTGCTCTCTAACTTATTTGTAAGCATGACTGATGCTTCTCCATAACACCTGGAACTGAGGCTTGAACCCAGAGAACTCTATCATTGAGTTAATCCCCAGCCCTGTTTATATTTTATTTGGAGACAGGCTCTCATTAAGCTGCTTAGGGACTAGCTAAATTGCTGAGGCTGGCCTTTAATTTGTAATCCTACCTCAGTTTCTCAAATCACTGGGATTATAGGTATGTGCCACCACACTGGTTGCATGTTTTGATAAGGAGCATTGATAATATGAAATAGATTATTTATTTTATAGCATCTGTTAACTACCCAGAGGCTTTGATTCCTTAGGATCTTTGAATCTCTGCTATGGTGGGTCTACTTTTTTTAAAAATTATTATTATTTAGGAGGTAATTATTTCAGGGGTGTGTGTGTGTGTGTGTGTGTGTAGTTAGGATAGTTATTTGAAATAAAATTAGGTTTGCTAGTTTCTCAGTTTAATTGTTCACTAGAGAAATTTTCAAATACTTGTAAAAGTAGAATAGTATAATGAATTTCCCATGTCTTTATTCAGCTTAAACAGTAAATACCTGCTACTGAGCAGGTATGCTTGCTTATATGAATCATGGAACAATGTATATTTAGAAAATATCAATATAATATGTGTAGTGATAAAACATATATTCAATTTAAAAAATGCCAATGTTTTGTTTGGGGCATATTGATTATAATTTTATGTTATTACATGTTCATTCTAATACTATTTTTTATTTACAGAACATTTTCACCAACCACTCTCTGGATATAAATGTAAGGTGGCTTGCTGTGCTATATTTTAAACATGGAATTGATCGTTATTGGAGACGTGTAGCCCCTCAGTAAGTTCCATCAATCCTCAGTGTAATGCTTTCCTGATGCAAGAAGTTAAAAGAATCTGTTCACGTAAAAGAATGTGTTAGTGCTTGCTTTGGCAGCACATACACTAAAATTAGAACAGTACAGAAAAGATTAGTATGGTCTCTGCACAAAGATGACATGGAATCCTGCAAAACATTTGATATTAAAAAATAAAATCTAAAAAATATGTTAATTATTGAAGAACAGTATTCTTCATAGTTAATTACCATTCAACAGCCATAATATTATTTTTCTCCCTGGGTTTTATTCCTCTGTGAGCGTGTGTGTGTGTGTGTGTGTGTGTGTGTGTGTGTGTGTGTGTCTGCCTGTGTCTCTCTTTGTATTTTTGGCCTTGTGAGTTGATGATCAGGCTGAGTGAATAAATCAAATTGAACAAAAGCCTTTTCTTTCCCTTTTAAAGATTCTTAATATTAAGATTTTTAAAAATGCTATTAAGAAGACAAACCCAACTCATTTGTGAACCATCTGAATAGTAATTCCTGAATATTATTCTTGCCTCTTTGGTAGATACATTTTTTTAAAAAAACATACATGCATTTTTAATCTCAGACTCAATTGTAACTGGTATGTAGGTGGTTAAATGAACAGATTTGTGTCCCCCTTATTTTTTTCTTTTATTTGTGTTACTGAGGATTGAACCCAAGGTCTCAAGCATGCTAGCCAGTGTTCTATCACTGACTTATATTCCCAGCCCCAGATTTCTCTTAATACTTAATTGTATGTTATATAATTGATATTATATAACAAGATAGACATGGCCTTGGAATTTATTTGATAGAAAATAATGAACTTGGGGCTGGGGTTGTAGCTCAGTAGTAGAGTACTTGCCTCTCATATGTGAGGCCCTGGGTTCCATCCTCAGCATCACATTAAAAATTAAATAAATAAATAAACAGACAAATAAAGATATTGTGTTCATCTACAACTTATATAAACATATATAATATAAATGAATATGAAAATAATGAACTTTGCTAAAGAAATAATGTGATCTTTGTTTTCCAGTAGATGGCACTATAGCTCTGTAATTTCTTAAACCTTAAAAATTAGTAAAAGCTTATCTGAGATCTTCAGAGTGCATATAAAACATGCCCTTGAATAATATTGGAAACAACCAGAATATTTTCAGGCTGCAATTAGGATACTATAGTATGAAGAAAATACTTTTCATCTTATTTTAGAATTGACTCATAGTTTTGTGAGAAATGATGTAGTGTTGAGACATTATTGGGTTATAGGAAATGTTTTAGCAGCACCTACATTACTACTGCTTGTCCATTTAAATTTTAAAATTATTTTTGTTTTACTGGTTTTATGAACAATATACTTATCAATAACCATGTCAAAGAAAGAATAAATTATGATTAAATACCTCAGATTATACATTTGCTAAGCATGCTCTGTACTACTGAACAGCACCCCCCCATTGAAGTTGCTTTTAAATTAATTAATTAATCAACAGTACCAGGGATTGAACCTAGGGGTGCTTAGCCACTAAGTTACATCCCTGTCCTTTTTAAATTTTTTATTTTCAAAATAAAGTCTTGCTAAGTTGCTGAGGCTGGTTTTGAACTCAGAATGCCATCTCCTGCCTCAGTCTCCTGAACTGCTGGGATTATAGGCATGCACCACTGCACCTGTTTGTTTATTTATTTTTAAAAAATTTTTATGGTGCTGGGGATCAAACCCAGGGCCTTATGCCTGCTAATCATTACCATGATTTACCATTGAGTTACATCCCCAGCCCTTAATTTAGTTTAAATTTAAGAAGTTAAGGGAGAAATCATGTAGTATTGAGTATTTAAATTCCAGGCTGTCTTTTTGCTGCTGTTTTTTTTTTTTTTTTTTTAGTTGTCGATAGACATTTATTTATCTATCTATTTATTTATTTATTATGCAGTGCTGAAAATCGAAACCAGTGCCTCACACATGCCAGGCAAGTGCGCTACCAGTGAGACATAATCCCAACCCCTCCAGGCTGTCTTTTAGTGTGTATTGAGATAAAGGCCAGAAAGGAGATGAATATACTTAGAAAGGGGGCAAAGATGGCAGATTAGTAATTGAACCTATATAAAATTAAGGTACTTACAAATATGCTTGTTTGTGTTCTTATCTTAGTTTCATCCTATGTAAGTTCTTACTTTTGACCATTATTTTTAATAGAATCAGAAGTAACTTAAGCTTATATATTACTACTATACACAATGAGATTTAACTGAATCCTAGTTAATTATATACTCTATAATTTCTATATGAGATACAACCTAAATTCATCTAATGAGTACATACAATTTAAGGTGAAAAGTAAATAATTATGTAACATAAAGACATGAGTTTTCTCCATGTTAATCATTGGTTTCCTGTTTCTTTACTATCCATGTACTTTTTGCATGGTCTCTATTTTTGATAGCTGATCATTATATTCTCTTATTTTAGTTAGAATTAAGAAAACTGATTAACCTGGTTCCTTGGCATAGAAGAAAACTTGAATTTCATCTTGAAGCTAAACATTATAGGAGAAAACATCAGCTCAGGGGTTTGATGATAAGAGGGAGCTATTAAAGTTGGAAAATACAGCATGGATATAAGATGATTAGAATAGTCATTTCTAATGGGAAAACAGGTCTGCATTGGCCTCCTAAATGTTTACCTTAATCTTGCTTTCTTATTTCTTTACTAATCTTGAGCAAGTCACTCTTGTTATTTTAAAGAATTCTTATACTTTCGTAAGTATGTTATATACTTTCATATAACATACTTAAAGGTACACAAATGAAGAGTGCAGTTAGAATGTTTGTAATTGAACACATCAATGGCTACCAGTTGGAACTAGCTAGAACACTACTAGCAATCAAAAAACTATTGCACATATGTACATTTTATTGCTTTCATGGTCAGATGTATATTCAGCTTTTGCAGGTACTGTCATTTGGTTTTCCAAACTGGTTGTGCCAATTTGCAATCCGGTTAGTAGCACATTTGTTTTGGTGCTCATTCCACATTCTCATCAACATTTGATCTGAACTTTCATTTTTATCATTCTGGTAGGCTTGGGAATTTTAGTTTTCATTTTCCTGGTGAACCTTTTTTGTGTACTTATTGTTTGGATGTTATCATCTTTTGTGAAGGGTCTGTGATATGCACATTTTAAAAATTTGGGTTATTTTTTTGATTTGTGGGACTTGATACACATCTTAGGTGTTACTGCTTTATCATATATACCTATTGAAAATATCTTTATCCACTTTTATCACTTGCTTTTTCATTATCTTAATGGTGTCTTTGTTTCTTTTTGCTGGGGGTAGTTTTGTTGTCTTTAACACCTTTGTTCTTAATTTTGATTTTGAGTCAGTATAGCTACCTATCTTTTATAATTAGTTTGTGACCTATTTATGACATTTTGCTCAACCAACAATTAAGAAAATACTGTGTCTTCTGGTACACTTGGTTTACTTTACTCATTTTGCTCTATGATCTTTCTGGAATTGATTTTTGTACAAGATGCATGTTTGAAGTAGGGGCTGTACCATGTATTCTTTTACTATTGAATTACAGTAGTACTATTATTATTCATTAGGCACTTTGTGTGGTACTGGTTTGGATTCTCTAATTTGTCCAGTTGATGTTTTTGTCTCTTATTAAGACTTAATGTAATTTCTTTTACTTTTGGATTTAATTTGCTGTTCTTTTTCTAGCATCTTCAAGGTGGAATGTTAGATAATTGATTTTGTTTTTCTAAAGGTTGCATGTCCTTTAGAAACATTTTCTTTTTTTCTTACRTTGCATGTCCCTTATTAGGAAATCCTAAGTGTTATAAAACCTGAAACTTTTTGAATGCCAACATGATACCTTAATGTGGAAAATTTTATACCTGATCTCTGTAGTGGTGGGTCTCACTCAAAACCTGGGCACACTAAGAAAGAAATATTGTATAAAATTACCTTCACACTGTGTGTGTGAGGTATATATGGAACATAAATAACTATTATGTTAGACTTGGGTCCCATCTCCAAGATAACTTATATTATGTGTATACAAATATCTCAGTATCTCAAAATCTTAAATCTGAAAGAGTTCTTATTTCAGGCATTTCAGATACGAGATGTTCAATCTGTATACACATTTTAGAGCTTTAAGACTCTTCTTATAATTGTAACTTTTAGTTCAGCCTTGTGTGTGTGTATGTGTGTGTGTGTGTGTGTGTGTGTGTGTGTGTGTGTGTGTTGGGGATTGAACCCAGGGCATTTTGCATGCCAAGCACATGCAGTACCACTGAGCTACAGTCCCAGCCCTTGGTTAAAAATATTTTAAAAATATCTTCTGTGGTTTATTTTAAGATGTATAGGTTAATTAGAAGTATGTTGCCTTGTGCCTTGTTTCCAAAAGAACTTTTAGTTCTTTTTTGGTTACTGTTTTCATTATTTAAAATGTGCTGTGTTGTTTTGTGATCGAGCATGTGGTATTTTGGTACATATGTACTTGAATGTGTGTGTGTATTTGTGGATTTTACTATTTTATGTGTCTCAGCTTGAATTTGTGAATTGTGCTATTCAACTGGTCTGTGTTTCTTTGATTTTCAGCTTCTTTTTTCTTTCGGTTATTGAGATGTGTTAATATTTAAATATGATTATCCACTTGCGTATTCTTTTTCTTGTAATTTTGCTTTCTGTATATTTGAGGCGTTTAGGATCATATAAATTCAGGGTTGTCAGATTTTTATTGAATTGACCTTGTCATAATTATGAAATTTTTTTCTTTATCTCTAGTAATAAGTTTTGACTTAACGTCTAGTTTGTCTGACATTAATAGAGCCACACCAGCCATCTTGTGGTTAGTATTTGCATGTTATACCCTCTTTTGCCTTTTTCTTTCAATGTTATTTTGTTGTTGTTTTGTTTAAAATGTGTATCTTACAAGTAGCAAATAAGTTGGATTTTGTTTTGTATCTGGTATAATAAATGTTTTAGTTTTAGTATTACATTTGTTTACATTTAATATAAATACTGATATAGTTTGGTTTAAATCCACCCTTTGTTTCCTGTTTTATCTCTGATCTTTGCTTTTTTTTCTTTCTTTCTTGCCTTTCTTTGGATTATTCAAGAAACTTATATTAGTTCCTCTCTTTAAAAGCTTGTTGAGCACACTTTCATTTCTCAAGTGATTTTCCTACAGATAACATGTATCCATGATTTATTAGAGACTGTCCTTATGTTAGTACTTTACTTTTTTTAGATAATGCAAGAATGTTAAAATAATACTTTAACCCCTTTTAAAACTTCATAATCATTAATACTCTTGTTTAGTACTTTAATTCGCTATATATTTTAAACTCCATAAAATGTTATTTTATCAACAGTATTCATTTAAATTTACCTTTATAACATTTTAATTCTTTTTAGTGTTACTGTGCTTAGCTTCCATCTGGCTCCATTTGTTTTCTGCTTGAAGAACTGTCTAGTATTTTTTTAAGGGCACATCTGCTTTCAATGGGCGCGTAGAAGCAGAAGTGCTTTTTTTCTTATTATGCTTTAATCTTGATATTTCCCACTAACCTTCTAGTTATTAAATTTATTGCAGTTATTATGCTTATTAGTTCTAGGATTTCTTTTTAATATTTAGAAAAAAGTAAATTCTAGTTGTCTAGTGAAATTCTCCATATTTGGCCTACTTTCTTGAACTTATTCATAATTAGAATGTGATTTTGTTAATTATAATGTTTGTGCTCCTGTTTCTATTTGTGTTTTGGATCTAAGCATTTTTTTTCTGTATGTTGGTATGCCTGGTAAGTTTTAGTTGAATGCTGAATGTAGCATAGTTAAAATTGGAAAGTTTTTGAATTCTCTTAATCCCAGGTTACATCCTTTCTGGGGTTTCAGCAGCAAGCCTTGCATGTTTACCCAGATACTGCCATCATGGTGGGCCATGAGCTTCAGTTTTTGTTGCTTTACACTTCAAGGCCTGCTGAAATCTCTCTTTAGCTCTTCAGTGTCTAGCTGCTGCTTTCAGCTTCATTTTTTGTGGGTACATAAGGAGCAAATGCAGTGGCCCATCTCAGTTCATTCCTTTCTCTCTGAGATCTAAGTCTCCTGATCTTAGCTTCCTAGATTGTTTTTAGTAGTTACATTAGTTTTCTCAAGCTGCCCTAATAAATTCCCACAAACTGGGTGGTTTAAGACAACAGAAATTATTATCTCACAGTTCAGGTGGCTAAAAGTCTAAAATCAAAGTTTTTGCTCTCTTTGAAGAAATTAGGGAAGAATTTTTTTTGGTTTCTTTCTAGCTACAGCGGGGGCAAACAATCCTACTTGTTTCTGTGTTTATAGCTGCATCACTAATCCTGTCCTCAGATGTCACATGGCCTTATTTCTTGGATCTCATGTTTCTCATTGTTCATATTTTCCCTTTATGAGACACCAGAACCAGGCTTGGTGGTGCAATTCTGTAGTCCCAGCTGCTCTGAAAGCAGAGGTAAAAGGATCTAAAGTTCAAGGCCTGCTTGGACAACATAGGGAGACCCTGTCTCAAAATAAAATTTTAAAAAGTGCTGGGAATGTAGTTCAATGGTAAGAGTGTTTTCTTAGCATGTTTAAAGGCCCTGAGTTCAGTCCCCAGTACCCACCTAAATCCAGTATGACCTCATCTGAATGTTATTACATATGTGGAGACTCTACAGTATTTCCAGATAAAGTCACAGTCCCAGGTACCTGGGGTTTGGAATTGAGCATTTCATTTTTGTGGAGACACAATTTAGCTCACAATAGATGCCTTATACTTTTTTTTTATTTGAATATGTTTATAGTTGACCTTATTGAGATGATTTGTCTCATGCCAGCTACTCTGTCATTGATAGAATAAAAAAGAAAAACCTTTAAATGAAGTCTTAAAAATTAATTTCAAAATTAACAATGTGTTCATTCAGTTCAAATCTCACCATGTGTAAGATCTTTTACAATAACTTTTCTCCTTGTATATCCTTCAACTTTCTAGTTTTCCTGGAAACAGTATGGAGGCAATTGTTAGTATTATGTTTATCCCTTCTATAGATGTAAAATGAAAGTTTTTAAACTAGTTAATTTCTAATATCCCAAGTATTCTGATTCTGTCTCTTTCCCCATAGAATAACCTCAACTCAGATTTATAAAAGCCAGTGGAAGCCTAATATTTACTAGTATAGATTTATTTATCCAACTTTTTTTTTTTTTTTGGTAGCCAACACTAGTAAAAGTGAACATCAAAATATTGTGTTAATTACCCTGGATTTGCCTTATTTTTTAATGCTTACTGTGTTGTGCTTCCTGTTAATTCATTTATGAGGGAATTTTGTTTCTCATTTAATGTGCCAATATTTAACTAACGGAAATAATTTTATTTATTTACCAAAAGAATCAGAATAACATATTTAAAAGGCTTTGTATTGTAAAAATTCATAGTAGTGCTTATCTGTATTCATTATTAGGTGTCATTCTCTTGCATAATGTTTTTATTTTTTTAATAGTGCTCTCTCAGAAGAGGAAAAATCTACTTTGCGTGCAGGGCTCATCACCAACTTCAATGAACCAATAAACCAGGTTAGTGAGACAAATGAATTCTAAATATTGTTTCCCTTTTATATTTGCTTATTTTCCATGCTAATATTTTTATCTCTCACTAAAAATGAAATTGTATGTCATTATTTTCCTTTGTGGTGGTTTATAGACAACTCATTTGCTAAATTTTAAATTTTGAAATCCAGTGATAGCTGTTAAGAATTTTGGTTAGATTTGGCTATTAATGATTTAAAACTTGGAAGTCATTAAAATGTATACTTGATAATTTTCAACTTTCAGGTTTTGAGCTAGTATTTAAAGCAAATCTATAAATAATTGTCTTATTGCATAGAAATTAATTTTTAAACAAGAAAATGAACAGATAAAATATGTTACATACCTAAGGCATGAAAGTATTTGACTCCAGAAATTAATTTAATAACTTACAGTTTCTACCCTTTTCCTACTTTTTCTTTTTAAACTATAAGATGACTTCAGCTTTTTGTCTTTATTTCCTGAATTCATCATATTTTCAGTTCTCACTGCTCTGTAGCAATTAAGTAGTTTTTTTCCCATTTCAATGAAGTTTTCTTCTAAGAATAAATTTTTGCTTAAAGGTTTAACAGTTTTTAAAATTTTTCAAGGTAATATATATATATACTTGATTTCCTACATATCTGTCTGTCTATATAGATTTTTTTCCCCCTGAATTCTGGGAATTGGGGATTGAACCCAGGGGTATTCTACTATTGAGCTAAACCCTGAGCCTACACCTTTTTTTTKKGGGGGGGGGTGTGGATACTGAGGATTGAACCCAGGGGTGCTTAACCACTGAGCCACATACCCAACCCTTTTTTGTATTTTATTTAGAGACAGGGTCTCACTGAGTTGCTTAGGGCCTCTCTAAGTTGCTGAGGCAGGTCTTTTTTTTTTTTTTTATCGGTTAATACATAAGTGAATAACATTCATTTGTGATCATCATCAAGCATTATGTATATGCAACATAATTATGATATGGTATACCTTTATATGCCCAGCAGCATAGTAAATTTACACAAACACAAATAATGACAATGACATTGGCCATAGGGAAATTTTCAGTTCCATTTTAATCTTATAAGGCCAATGTCATATATCTGATACATCTCTGACTGAAATGTCATTATGCAGCATATGACTATAATATGTTTTTGTTATATAGCAGAAAATATGAATATCAAAAAGTGTTCTTTTCTTTTTTATTTGCTGTAATTAGTTATATATGACAGCAGAATGTACTTTTTGTTGTACACAAATGGAGCACAGTTTTTCATTTCTCTGATTGAACACGAAGTAGAGTCACACTATTAGTGCAATCATACATGTACCTAGGGTAATGGTGTCCATCTCATTCCACCATCTTTCCTACCCCCATACCTTCTCCATTTCCCTCCCTCCCCTTTCTCAATCTAAAGTTTCTCCATTCATCCCATGCCCCTCTCCTGTTATGGATCAGCATCCACTTATCAGAGAAAATATTCGGCCTTTGGTTTTTTGGGATTGACTTACTTCACTTATTATGATAGTCTCTAACTTCATCCATTTGCCTACAAATGCCATAATTTTATTCTCTTGTAAGGCTGAGTAATATTCCATTGTGTATATATACCACAGTTTCTTTATCCATTCATCTTCTGAAGGACATCTATATTGGTTCCACAGTTTAGCTATTGTGAATTGAACTGCTATAAACATTGATGTGGCTTTGTCTCTGTAGTATGCTGTTTTTAAGTCCTTTGCATATATGCTGAGGACCAGAATAACTGGGTCAAATGGTGGTTCCATTCTCAGTTTTCCAAGGAATCTCCTTTCTGCTTTCTGGAGTGGTTGCACCAGTTTGTCGTCCCACCAGCAATGTATGAGTATGCCTTTTCTCCGACATCCTCGCCAACACTTATTGTTGCTTGTATTCTTGATACTACCATTCTCACTGGAGTGAGATGAAATCTTAGAGTAGTTTTCATTTGCATTTCTCTAATTACTAGAGATGTTGAACTTTTTTTATGTATTTGTTGATTGATTGTATATCTTCTTCTGAGAAGTGTCTGTTCAGTTCCTTAGCTCATTTATTGATTGGGTTATTTTTTTGTCAAGTTTGAGTTCTTTTTATATCCTCAGGATTAGTACTGTATCTGATGTGTGTGTGTGTGTGTGTGTGTGTGTGTGTGTGTGTGTGTGAGAGTGATAAAAATTTGCTACCATCTGTAGACTCTCTTCACCTCAGTGATCGTTTCTTTTGCTGAGAAGAAGCTTTTTAGTTTGAATCCATCCCATTTATTTGTTGTTCCTTTTAAAACAAATTTTTTTTTGTAGTTGTAGATGACCAGCATACCTTTATTTTATTTATTTATTTTTATGTGGTTCTGAGGATCCAACCCAGTGTCTCACACATGCATGCTAGGTCAGTGCTCTGACACTGAGTTATAGCCCTAGTCCTCATTTATTATTCTTGCTTTTATTTCTTGCGCTTTAGGAGTCTTGTTAAGGAAGTCAGGGCCTAATCCGACATGATGAAGATTTGGGCCTGCTTTTTCTTTTGTTAGGTACAGGGTCTCTTGTTTGTTTGATTCCTAGGTCTTTGATCCACTTTGAGTTGAGTTTTGTGTATGGTGAGGGATAGGGGTTTAATTTCATTTTGCTGCATATGGATTATCAGTTTTCCGAGCACCACTTGTGAAGAGGCTGAGGCAGATCTTGAACTCATGATGCTTCTGCCTCAGCTTCCCAAGCCTCTGGGATTACAGGCATGTGCCACCATGCCCAGCCCCCAGCCCTTTTTATTTTTTATTTTGAGACAAGGTCTTGCCAAGTTTCCAAGGGTGACTCTTGAATTGTGATCCTTTTGCYTCAGCCTCACGGATAGCTGGGATTACAGGCATGTACCACCATTTCTGTCTGATTCTTCTAATTTGAATATTAAAATCATACTGTATTTGGCAATATTTCTGATTTTTTAAAATATTTTATTTTTTAGTTGGACACAATACCTTTATACGTATTTTTATGTGGTGCTGAGGTTTGAACCCAGGGCCTCACACATGCTAGGTGAGCACTGTAGCTCTGAGCCACAACCCCAGCCCCTGATTTAGTTTTTTTATTTTTATTTTTTTTAATTGTTGATAGACCTTTATTTATTATTTTTATGTGGTGCTGAGGATTGAATCCAGTGCCTCACACATGCTAGGCAAGCGCTCTACCTCTGTACTACAACCCCAACCCTCTGGTTTAGTTTTATATTCACCTTTATAAGTGATCTCAACTCTAAGTTTTACAATTCCTTGAAAAGAAGCTGAGAGAGAATGGAGAATGGAGTTGTTCTCACTAGGGCAGGAATTGATTGGTTTGGGGTTTGGGTGATTAAGAAATAAATCATTCCCTATGTATTCTATCAATCAGTATTTAGGAAGCACTGATCTATACAGATATTGTTATTTAAATACTCGATATTTGATGTTATTTCCATTCTTAGGTTAGTGGTTCTTAAAATTCATTTTTATAGAACCTTTATTCTGCTAAAATTGAAGACCTTAAAGGATTATGTCTATTGATATTTACAGGATTACAAACTAAAACTGAGAAATTTAAAAATATTTCTTAGTTAACCTAAAAATTTTAAAACTGTACTTGTTGACGTAAGTAGCATTTTGTGAAATGAACTATTGTAGCTGTTTACAAAATAATTCAGGTTGAAGAATGACATTGTTAAGAATTTTTGCATATGTCTTTAGTGTCTGGCTATTTAAAAAGAAGACTTCCAGAATTTTATATCTTCTTCTTTATTCTTCACATGTTGTGATATGTTATTTGGTAAACATATGAAGAAAACCTATTTACTGATACATAATTTAGGAAAGGAAAATTAACATTCCCGAAAGGGCTCTAGTGTACCCTGTTTTGAGAATCACTGTCTTAGTTTTTTAGTGAAATTTTAATCATTTTTGTCAAACTGTATGATAAATCAAAAAGGTARTTTTGGGAGCTGGAGATATATCTCAGTTGGTAGAGTTCCTGCCTTGCATGMACAAGGCCTTGGGTTCAATCCTCAGCACCACAAAAAATCAAATCAGTAAATAAACAAAAAGGTAGTTTTTAAACTATGAATACATTCTTATTCATTGCCTGGGTTTCATGTTTATTTCTTGATGATTACTTTTCCCTTGTAGATTGCAACTCAGATTGCAGTGCTGATTGCAAAAGTTGCCAGATTGGATTGTCCTCGACAATGGCCTGAACTGATTCCCACTCTTATAGAGTCTGTTAAAGTCCAAGATGATCTTCGACAGCACAGAGCATTGCTTACTTTCTATCATGTTACTAAGACACTGGCATCTAAACGACTGGCTGCTGATAGAAAACTGTTTTATGATGTAAGTTTTTTAACATAGTTAAGTTTGATTATGAGAATAATGCTACTTACATACAAATGAATACAATTTTACTTCTCTTAATATTTTATTGAAAGGTTATGGATTCTTCCTAATTATAAAATACAGTGATGTGAATGGAAAGATCACTTGGTTGCCAATGAGTATTGGTTGGAAGGTAATGGTTCCAAAGCTAAGAGATTGATTAGAGGCTATTATAAATCTCTTAAAATGATGCAGTGATAAAGGGAACAATTTGGTAGGCATAGAGTTGAAATTTTGGAAGTAAAATTGACATGTCTGAGTAATTGATGGATGTAGAGCAGTTGTACTACTGAGGGGGTGATAGACCTTTGTTAGGTATTCTGCCATCAGTTGTTGGAGAAATTTTCCTTTCTTTATATACTTCCTTTGGGGCTTTTTTATTTGACCTTTAAAATAAATAAGTTATCATGCTGAGGATTAAATTCAGTGTCTTGTCTCTACCACTGAGCTACATCTCTGGTTCTTGACTATATTTGAACTGTCAAAATAGTGATTTTCCTGTTTCTCATCCTAACATTTTGGACTGTACCATGTAATGTTAGTGAATCTCAAAAGTATTTGTTATTGTGTTCTTGCTTACCTTTAGTAATTGTAAAGAAATGAAAGGTATATGATTTGAAATTTTATTGTATGATCACATGATAGGGCTTAAGAAACTATTTCAGGTATGTTCTCAACCATAATGCTGGGTTAATCAGGTTTTCATCACTGTGACTAAAATACCTGACAAGGAGAACTTAGAGGAGGAAAAGTTAATTTTCACTTCATAGTTTCAGAGGTTGAGTTCATTGAGGTTCAGCCAACTTTATTGCTCTGGGCCTGAGGTGAGGTGATGCAACATGCCAAAAGGACATGGTGGAACAAAGCTACTTACCTGATGGTATCCAGGAATCAGAGTAGGAGGAGCCAGTGACAAAATATATAATCCCCAAGGCCTCTAGTGACCTACCACCTGTTCATAGCTACCACCCAGTAATCCATTCAAATTAATAATCCATCAAATGGATAAATCCACTGACCAGGTGATAGCTTTCATTATCTAATCATTTCACCCCCTTGCATTTAACAGGTATTTTTGAGGGACACTGCATTTTCAAACCATAACACATGCTCTCCAGAAAATATACTGTGAATAGTGTTTTATAGAAGGCTTCTTTTTTGGTCTGTCTTTTGCTCCTCCAAATGTACCATATTTATTGCTTATTCTTTCCCCCAAGGAGCAACATGCTTTTCTCTGGAGGGTTCCAGGGTTTCTCTTGCTTATAAATTTTTAAAGTGGTCATAAGTAGACTTTCCCAGGCCTCTTTTCTTCTGATTTCTACTTTAGTGTGTACTTCACCTTTCATGATTAGAGTTGTTTCATCCTTCTTTTTGTGTGTGGTACTGGGGATTTGTGATACTGGTGCTTTATCACTGAACTATGTCCCCAGCCCTTTTTATTTTTCTTTGAGACAGGATCTCATTAAGTTGCCCAGGCTGGCCTCCAGCTTTTGATCCTTCTGCCTCAACCTCCTGAGTAACTGGGACTACTAGTGTGCACCCCAATGCCCAGCAGATGCTTCATTCTTTTCTTTCTTCCTTTTTAAAAATTTATTATCATCATCATTATCATTTTTATTATTTGGTACCAGGGATTGAACCCAGGGGCATTAAACCCTGAGCCAGCCACATCCCCAGTCCTTTTTATTTTTTATTTTGAGACAGGATCTCGCTAAATAGCTTAGGGCCATGCTAATTGCTGAGGTTGGCTTTGAACTTGTGATTCTACTGCCTCAGCCTTCCAAGTTGCTGGCATTGCAGGCATGTGCCACCACACCTGGCTTGCTTCATTCTTAGAGAAAGAAATAACCTCCTCCTAAGTGAAAATGAGTCATTGAGAAGTGTATAGAGGGGGCTGGGGTTGTGGCTCAGCGGAAGAATGCTCCCCTAGCAAGTGTGAAGCACTTAGTTCCTCAGCACCACATAAAAATAAATAAAATAAAGGTATTGTGTTCAACTACAACTAAAAAATTAAAAAACAAAAAAGTGTACAGAATGTGGAGGAGAAGCAATCTAATAGAGCAAGCCAAGTGAAGAGAGTTCTAGAAGAGAATACTTGTCCTAGTTTTTTTTTTTTTTAATAATGCATTTATTGTCCCATAAATAGTGGCCAACTTTTTGTCTCTGAGGACTCTGTTTTCTCTGTGTGCTTTGATATAGGGAAGGGGAGGGAATGAGAGCATGTGTAATATTGAAATGYCTTCTATGTTAAAAATATTGATTGTTTTTGATCTGTCTGAGGTTTCTGAGCTACACCTTTGGACTCCTCCCTTTGAGGTTATAACTTAGGCAACTGCATTTTTTAAAAAATATATTTATTTTTTAGTTATAGGTGGACACGATATCTTTATTTTATTTTTATGTGGTGCTGAGGATGAAACCTAGTGCCTCACACATGCTAGGCGAGCTCTCTACCTCTGAGCCACAACCCCAGCCCCTTAGGCAACTGCATTTTTAAAAAAAAATTTTAAATTTTTTAGTTGTAGTTGGGCACAATGTCTCTATTTCACTTATTTATTTTTAAATGGTGCTGAGGATTGAACCCAGGGCCTCACACGTGCTACGCGAGCACTCTACCGCTGAGCCATAACCTGAGCCCGCATTTTTTTTAGATACACATTTTTTTAATATTTATTTTTTAGTTATAGTTGGACACATTACCTTTTATTTATTTGTTTGTTTATATGTGGTGCTGAGGATTGAACCCAGGGTCTCGCATGTGCTAGGCAAGTGCTCTACTGCTGAGCCACAACCCTAGTCCCAAGACAACTGCATTTTTTTTTTTTTTAAAGAGAGAGAGAGAGATGAAAGAGAGAGAGAGAGAGAGAGAGAGAGAGTTTTTTTAAATATTTATTTTTTAGTTTTCGGCGGACACAACATCTGTATTTTTTTATTTTTATGTGGTGCTGAGGATCGAACCCAGGGCCGCACGCATGCCAGGCAAGCGCGCTACCACTTGAGCCACATCCCCATCCCGACAACTGCATTTTTAATGAACTCCCCAGCTGATTGTTATCTACATCAAATTTTAAGACAGTCATACCCTATTTATTTTTAACACAGTGGGTTTACGTAGCTGGTCTTAAGTTTATCTGAGAATAAGAGAAATTGTTTCTGATATATGTAAGGTTCCTTCCAATTTCTTGTCACTTTTGCTTGAATTCTAACCAGCACTAAAGAAATGGATAGTAAATCTACCCTAGTCTCTGAATTTCTTTTTGATTTTCCTTTATTTCTACTTGAAACTCTTCTGCCTCTAGGACTTGCTTTTATGATGGAAAGATTCTCAAAGTCAAATGTCTAGAGAATTCTGGGTTATAGTTACTCTTTTATTATCAGTGGAATGCTGAAATATTTTGGCTTTTTCAAGGTCTACTCTTCTTATGTGTTTCTTTGGTTTTCGGGTATAATTTATATTTAGCTCATGTGGTCTCTAAATTGTGGTCTACTCAGGCCCTATTCTGGGTAGTTTGTGTGWGATAGCTTCTTCATTGGTTTTCATGTTGTGCTCCTTTCTGTGTAGAATAAAATACAAGTTTGCTTAGCATCTTGAACTTAACTTCCGGTGAAGTATTTATCACATTGGGCTGAATTATAATTGTTGATTTACTTCCTCAGATCAGTATACTGGAGCTTTTAATGCTATAGTAATGATACCAATCTTGAAAAGTATATATTATGGTTGATGCTCAATAACTGTTAAATGCATAAACATTGGGGATATAGCTGTGTGACAAAGAGTGCTTGCCTGTTATGTGTAGAGCCTTGGGTTTCAAACAAAGAAGCACAAATAGAAGGCATGTTCTTAGATACCTGTTAGATTTTAGAGTAGTGTAGGGCAAAACTTCAACAAAGCAGCAAGAATATTTTGAGTTTATAATTGAGAGACAAAAATACCTGAAAAATGTCAAATTTGCATCTGACAATTTGAAATGGAGTAGCTGAACCTGGAAACATGGTCTGCAGTAGGCACTAAGAAGGGGGGATACTGTTTAATGGAGTTGAGGTACAAGATGAGTAGTTTAAGGAAAGTAGTGTGTATGAGAAAACAGTATTTTGAAGATAAATTTTGTGAATTAAAGCTGCTCCTATTATTTTGGTAATATGAGGTATAGATAATCTTTCTTTTAATAGTGTGTTTACTGTAAAGCCAAGGTGGACTTCAAGTACCAAATTAGTTACCCACATAAAGTGTAAGCTCATAGTTTTGAGCTAGTTGCTATAGCAAAATAGTTCAGGGTATACTTAAAACCTTCTGCTCAGTTCATCCCAACAATTTTATTTATTTATTTATTTATTTTGGTATTAGAGATTGAAGCCAAGGGTACTTAACCACTGAACCACATCTCCAGGCATTTTTTGTTTTTTATTTAGAGAAGGACCTCGATAAGTTGCTTAGGGTCCTGCTAAGTTGCTGAGGCTGGCTTTGTACTTTGCTATCCTCCTGCCTTAGCCTCCCAAGCTGCTGGGGTTACAAGCATGTACCACTGCTTCTGGCTGTCCCTACAATTATAACCTTTCCCCCCTTCTGTATTAAAATAGATTTTTTTTTTTTCAGGTGTGACACATTGCAGAATCAACAGTTGAACAAGTTGTTTTGCAGTGGCAAAATTGAGCTTGATTTCACACAAAAAGAAATTAATTTCCTATAAAACAGAATACCTTTTCATACAAACCAGAATATTAAAAAAATCACATCAATTTCAGTTAAAATAAAAAATCTAAAGCCACTGAAAGCAATACAATTTAAGCACCAATAGTAACTCTAATGTAAGTATGATGTGTAAACCACAGAGGTATATATTGAAAAATGAAATAATTGGAACCTCAAAAAGATAAAAATATCTTTTGAAAATTATACATACCACTTCTTTTTAGAAAAATGACCTAACATTTATGCAAAAGACTTGTTTTCTAGT